TTGGGTGTTACAATTCTCCCCTCCTTTTAGAAATTTCGTCCCCGAAATTTACCTGAAAACAGAAATGGATGAGCTTCTCGCATCTTGCTTTCTAATTCCCATGTAGCACTTTCTTCAATATTTCCTCCCCAAACGACCTTAACCAAAGGGATTTCCTTTCCTCTTAGTTGTTTCACCCTCGTGTCATCAATCCTTAAAGGAATTGTTTCATAAGTGAAATTATCCTTCAACTGAATGTTGTCAGACTCAATGATATGAGAAGGATCATGGACATACTTTCTGAGTTGAGAAACATGAAAGACACTATGAAGATTTGAAAGAGATGAGGTAAGGCAATTTGATAGGCTACTTCACCGATCCTTTTAAAAATTTGATAAGGACCGATGAAATGTGGAGTAAGCTTACGGGATTTCAGTGCTCTGCCTACTCCTGTCCAAGGAGTGACTTTAAGGAATACATGATCACCTTCTTTAAACTCAAGGTCTTTTCTCCTCTTTTCATTGTAACTTTTTTGCCTACTCTGGGTTGCTCTCATTCTTTCTTGGATCATCTTAATGATGGAGAAAGAACATGATGAAGATGTGACAAGTTATTAACAAAATTTAAAAGCATTTTAGATGAGCTTGATGAACTTTAGCCCTTGCCAGAGTGTGACTGCGGAGCCTCAAAACAGATGATTCAAAGAGAAGAGGACCATCGTGTTCACTTGTTTCTTGGAGGTCTTGAAAACGAGGAATATTCGCACATCAAGGCTACCATTCTGAACACAGAACCACTTCCCTCTCTAAGGCGTGCCTTCAATCATATTCAAAGAGAAGAATCACATCTTACAACCGATAAAGAAAAGAGTGCAAAAGCAGAAAATGGAGCAGCTTTTCATTCATCTAAAGGAGTAAAACCAAAGGGACGTGGTGGATCCCGATCTAAGTGCGATCATTGTGGCAAAACAGGTCATATTAAGCCAAATTGTTTTGAGATTATTGGTTACCCAGAGAATTGGAATACTCGCAGGACACAAAATGATACACGCAGACAAGGACATAAATCTAATGCATTTTTAGCTTTTGAGGATGAAGAAAAAGAAGCTCCAAAAGGTGCAAAGGCTGCGCACACACTCCATGAAAAGCACATGACACATAACACAAGAGTGCATGAGAATATGGCTGGTAATAACAAAAATCTTAGAGAAATAGAATGGGTGTTAGATAGTGGAGCTTCACATCACATGACACCTTGTCTTTCTCTTTTAAAGGCAGTACGAAAGATTGAGAAACCCTTCTATGTGACAGTACCCACTGGAAATGTTGTTTTGGTAGAAAGCATGGGATATATTGATCTTGATAAAAATATCAAGCTGGAAAATGTTTTATTTGTGCCTCAATTTAGTTGTAATTTGATTTCTGTGCATAAATTAGCACGTGATTCAAAGTGCATATTAACATATGATGAAAATCGTTGTGTGTTGCAGGACCAGACCATGAAAGAGATGATTGGATTAGGTGACATGCATGAAGGGGTTTACATACTTAGAAGACCAACGAAAAGTATTTATTTCACCGCTTTCTTGAAAAACATGGCTGGTACTTGGCATTCAAGGTTAGGGCATCCCTTGTTTGAAGCTCTCCAGAAAATTTCTAATATAGTTAAATGTAGTTTCATTACAAATAAAGAGGAATGCTGCGACATTTGTCACAAATCCAAACAATGTAGATTTCCTTTTAATCGTAGTAATAATAAAGCTGAAGCACCTTTTCATCTCATTCATTATGATCTATGGGGAAAGTATAACACTGCTTCACACAATGGGTCACATTATTTTCTTACCATCGTTGACGATTATTCAAGAGCCACGTGGGTTTATCTAATGAGACACAAATCTGAGACTCTAGATATGCTCAAAAAATTTTGCACGATCATAAAAAGGCAATTCAATGTGGATGTGAAGAAAATAAGGAGTGATAATGGAACAGAGTTCACAAATTCAAGCTTTCAAAGATACATTCGTGAAGAAGGAATAGTTCATGAAACCTCTTGCGTAGGAACACCCCAACAAAATGCACGTGTAGAACGAAAACACAGGCACATACTCAATGTGGCAAGAGCTTTACGCTTCGAAGCTAATCTTCCCATACATTTTTGGGGAGAATGTGTGTTGACAGCTACTCATCTCATAAATAGGACACCCACGATCGCAAACAGCGGCATCACTCCTTACGAGATGTTATATGGAAAACCACCAAGTTATGATCACTTAAGGATTTTTGGATGTTTATGCTATGTAAAAAATTCATCCAAACAACAAGACAAATTCACGCCAAGATCAAAAAAATACATGTTCATTGGCTACCCACAAAATCAAAAAGGCTGGAAAGTTTACAATCTGGAAACACATGAATTTTTTATTTCACGTGATGTAATTTTCTATGAATAGTTTTTTCCTTACAAACTACCAGCAAGAACAGTTTACGAAAACTACACATCTCAAGAACGAGATGAATATTCATACAATATGATGCATGAAGATAATGATCATGTTTCAAAAGATGCATCACAAGTATCAAGCGAGGGAGAACACTCAGAAAATAAGGAAGAAATAGGGAGTAATTCTCACAATATAGAGGCAAAGAGTTCTAATGACGAAGATTTAGAGAATCAAGGTGAGGGGGAGAATCGAGCAGAAGAAAAATGAACAAGGAAACCTCCAACTTATCTTAAGGATTATTATTGCCATGCAGTCACAGTAAACCCTTCATGCATGACAACCAATCCTAACATCTCTTTAGGTATGGTCTATCCTCTTTCAAACTTTGTAAGTTATGATCATTTTTCACATAGACATCGAGCCTACCTTGCAGCACTTGGGTCTCATGATGAACCCAAGACATATGCTCAAGCGATGAAGCATCCTGAATGGCGTACTGCCATGAGACAAGAAATCAAGGCATTGGAGGATAATCAAACATGGGAATTGACACATCTCCCACCAGGCCGGAAAACTGTAGGATGCAAGTGGGTATACAAAATAAAATACAAAGCTACGGGAGAAATAGAAAAATACAAAGCACGTCTCGTGGCAAAGGGGTTCACTCAAATAGAAGGAGAAGACTTCAACGAGACCTTTGCACCAGTTGCCAAGATGACTACTATTAGGTGCTTGTTATCAGTAGCAGTGGCAAAAGAATGGGAACTCCATCAAATGGATGTAAGCAATGCCTTTCTACATGGAGAATTAGATGAGGAAGTTTATATGGCCGTACCTCAAGGATATAGTGTGCCCACAAAAGGAATGGTATGTCGCTTGCGCAAATCATTATATGGCTTACATCAAGCTTCTCGCAATTGGTACACCAAGCTGTCTCATGCATTGGAGGAGTATGGTTTCAAGGAATGTGATGCTGATCATAGTCTTTTTGTCTATTCACATGATTCAATTTTTATTGTTGTTTTGATCTATGTGGATGATCTTGTTATAGCTAGTAATAACTCTCTTTCGTGTGCCCAATTCAAGGAATACTTGAGCAATTGCTTTCATATGAAAGATTTAGGAAATCTGAAATACTTTCTTGGTTTAGAGTTGGCACGAGGCTCAAAGGGATTATTCATATGTCAAATAAAATATACCTTAGACATTTTAAACGAATGTGGAATGCTTGGATGCAAGCCAACATCTATTCCCATGGAACAAAATCATCGCCTTGCACTGGCAACAGGATCTCCTTTTCCAGAACCATCCCAGTACCGAAGACTGATAGGACGTCTCATTTATCTCACCATTACTCAACTAGAAATCACCTATTCAGTTCACATTTTAAGCTAGTTCATGCAAGCACCGCTACAAGAGCATTGGGATGCTGCCATGCGAGTTCTACGCTACTTAAAGTCATCACCGGGACAAGGAATTATATTGCCTAACACCAATGATCTTCGGCTTGTTGGTTATTGTGATTCAGATTGGGCTTCCTGCCCACTTACTCGAAAATCCATTCCGAGTTACTTGATGAAACTTGGACCAGCTCCAATTTCTTGGAAAACCAAGAAGCAATCTACTGTGTCTAGATCTTCTAGTGAAGCAGAATATAGGGCCATTGCTCATGCAACTAGTGATATCATTTGGCTGAGAAGCCTTTTGAAGGATTTACAAGTTGATTGTGACTCACCTACTTTTTTGCATTGCGATAACCAAGCTGCTTTCCATCTTGCAGCTAACCCTGTTTTTCATGAACAAACTAAACACATAGAAGTTGATTGTCATTTTATAAGAAATCACTTGGAGAAGGGAACTATCAATACTTCAAACATTCCAACAAAAGAACAACAAGCTGATATTTTCACCACATCTTTGGGAAGAAAAATGTTTTTAGAATTGACAGTCAAGTTGGATGTTCATGACCCTCACACTCCACCTTGAGGGGGAGTAATAGATGATAGATATATCTATTAGGATTTATTTATGTTATTTCTGTTATTTCTGTTTTGATTTGTTATCTTCTATCTTATTTTAGAATTTATATCTAATAGGATAGTTTTTGTTACTGCAAGCCTATAAAAGGCTTCACATCTCTGTAATTCAAGTGTGAAAACAGAAATTTCATAATAGATGATTGATTTTTAATATAGCACATTAAAAGGAGAAACGAAGCAGTGAATCCTCAGCTAAAAGTTACATCAGCATATCTCAACCTTGACTAATTTCTTTTTCTTTTGCCTTGCATACATCTTCCGCAGTCTTGATAAATTTTTTTGTCAAATCGTCAACCTGTAAGAAGGAAATATCATAAATCAAACTACCAAAGCTATGGAATCCAGTTATCTTATCAGCTGCAATAAGCATAATATAAGTTACTTCTTTCTCCAATCTTTTTATGTCATCCTTGGGGAGACTTGAATACAACTTCTTTATCGCATCCATTGCCTGTAAAATAAACAACTTTAATCACAGTCTGCAGAAATTATGGTATACTCAGAAAAAAATAATAAAATAATGACACGTGGACCACCCTTGTTAATTTGAATTTTGATAGAATCAAGAGGCAAAAAATAAATAGGACCAGACTCTGATATTGCCTTTTTCAGTTCAGAAATATTTCTCTAATTGGTTTAGTGTCTGCAGATGATAGCCACGTCATATGCAAAAGTATAATACCAGTACTAAGCATTCTACAAATAAGTAATATCAAACCTCCAACTCCCAAGATAAAATACCTCTGGATCATAAGGATTAACAGACAAGGTTTTTGGATCTAAGACTGAAACAACAGCAAAAGGCATCTTTAAACCACTAGTTTCAACGATAATATGATCAAGCATTCCTGTACAGATGTGCCCATCATTATCACGCTGAGTACTAACTATCAAGATTCAAGAAACAGATGATCCATAAACAATTGTGATAGCATTAATATACCTGGAGATGCCCTTCCTGTTTGTAGCTTGCTTAGCTCTGCTGATAATGCAGCCATTGCAGCCTCCATCTGTGAGACAGCATTTGCCTTAATAGTAGGCCCAACGTTTGGTGGAACTTCAATTGTACCAACACCGCCTTCATCTTCTAAAATGTATAAAATGACCATTAAATCAAGTAACATTTATAATGAACAATAATAGTTAGACTAAGACATCAAATATTCTGATACGATAATTCGGCAAAAAAATTTGTTCATGCAATCTATTGACTCATGCTTCAATGAGAAAAATCCCATATCAGCTTTAAAATCCAACAGCTTGAAACGTGTATTTAGCTGATTGCAACCAGTAAAAACAAATCACATGACTCGTGGATTTGTACTTACAATCATAAAAAATCTACATATCTTTATTGCCTAGAAATTTTATTTTCACAGGCTGCAAACTCAATTCAATAGGCAAAATTCCAGAAAACAACCACTGTAGAAAACTCACATGCATCTGATTCAAGAAAAGCTTTCGGGAAATTCAAGAAACTGTTCCAATTTTCTCGTATTCTTCATCTTCAGAACTTGCTTCGGTTTTACAAAAACATTTCTCAACTAAATGAACCCTAAATTTCTTGTTTAGTGTTTGAAATTAAGGATAAACTCACATAATAAAAACATGTAGTAACACGAGCAAAATCACAACAGAAAATCAAAATCAAAAACCTTTATAAATGAATTTAAAAAAAATCTAAGGAAGGAGTGCATGGTTATTTGCGGATAAAATCCACTACGGATAATAAATGGATAGGTTAATTGGGTACCTGCGAATAATCGGGACGGATAATTTTTTACTCGTTTATAAATGGGGTGGGGCCGGGTATGATGATATCCATACCCACAGGTACTCGTTTAATAATATTTCTTAAATATCTTAATTATCTTTGTACCATATAATCTTAAAACTGCACTCTCTCATCTTATTTTCTTACAAAAGTGAGGTTGATGAAGTTACCAACATATGTTAAGCATGTTATAAAATTATGTTTGATGTAATTTGATTAATTTTCTAGCTTTGATTAGACCAATAAGATTCTTCTACCTTTCGGAATTCGTTTTAGGGTTTAGGGGTTTTAGTTTAGAGAGAGACGTTGAAATGGGCCAACACACTCAACTAAGCCGAGAGTCATATGGGCTAAGGCCCTAAAGAAAGAACACAGAACAAGTCACCCCATTGAACCTTAATCAGCCATAAAAAGAAAAGAATTTTTAAAAATTTTCTTGTAATAAAAATAAACTTTTAAAAATGTTCTCAGATAAGAAAAATGTTTTTATTTAACATATAGGAATTGATTTGAAAGTGTCATTCAACTTTGGAGGCTTAAGTGACGTGGGCTTGAAACTTTTTAAATACATTATATTATTATTGTCTAAGATGTTGGAGTTGTCACAATTATTAGAAATAAGATCATAATAATATATATAAGTAGGAAGTAGTATTCACCTTAAGAATTTGATTTTTCCGAATTGAATTAAGTTCAAGCTCAATTTTTAAAATAGTTTCAAAATTTATCTTAATGATTATTGATTGTTGTTAGGCATATCGTGTTACTTGTGTAACATTCTAAAAATTCAAAAGTAGAAAATGAAATAGAAAACATAATTTTTAAATAATTACTTATTTTAGATGTGATAATTAATTACAGAAAATATGAAATGAGATTAAATAAATAATTTTTTATATAAAAACAAAATTAACAAATGTTTGAACTAAATTAGATACTATTAATAGTTATTATTATTAGTGAAAAAAATATGAAAAGTAATTAGTGTTTGAGCTAGACTCATTGATGAAAAATTAATAGTGAATAATACATCAAGTGGTTAATGAAGTAAATCAATTAATAATTAAGTTAGTAAACTATCTAATTAACTATGTTATACTTTTTTAAAATAATATAACATAAAACCTAGGTAAGTGACTAATAGAGAGATTCAAGGTGGTTAAGAAATTTAATTTATCCAAAACTAAGCAAGATTATGTAAGTCTCAATCAAACCCTAAATTTTCCTCCTATATAACTCAACATAAGGTCTCTATACCTTCTTCTTTGTGTGGGTCGACCAATTTGTGGGGGAGGAAGAGAGTTTTCAAAAACTTCTTCCTAGATTCTCTCCATAGGCAAGTTCTCCTGCCTGTTTCCTCATTATCTTTTTCTCCCTTTCAATTTTCTAATCTTTTTTTCCTCTTCTTTATTTTTCACTATGCATGGAAACACTTTGAAGCTTACATGGAGACTTTGTTCTTGATTTCCACACTACACACTCTTTCTTGAGGAGGTAAAGGAGCGGGTTACACTAATTTTTTAGTTTCTTTTAGGATTCCTTAGTCCCTTATTATATTTGTGTGTTTTTGAGTTGTATGGAGTTATTTCTCTATGTGTTCAAAAAGAACATGGTTATTGTTCAAAAAAAATTTCAAGGACTAAAACTCTATCTTAATGCTTTAAAATGATGTATAATGCATGAAAATAAATGGTAGTGAAGTGATATACTATCTATTGAGATTTGTTTGCACATGAAAATGACCCAAAATGAGGTTGAAAAAATTGTCAAAAATCTGCATCTATGGGTGTTTATAGGTAGAACTATATAATTTAGGAACCATGTTCTAAATTGTGTTTGGAGACTTGGAATATGTATATTGTGAATTATAAAGATGTTATAATTAATTTGGTTCAATTTGAATTTGATTCGAGTAGTGTATGACCCTAAAAGAGTGACATTTAGCTTAAATAAATGATTATAAGCATGCAACCATTTTTAAATGTTTGGACATGGTTTGATATTTTAAATTGTGCTTGGAGACTTGGAATATGTATGTTATGAATTGTAAAGATGTTAGAATTAATTAGGTTGAGTTTGGGTTTGGTATAAGTTGGAATATGACTTCAAAGTGTAATATAAACATGTTACAAGGATCTTGGGTAGGCTATCCGGGATCTTCATATTGTTCTAAGCCTTATGGAACATATTCTTTTTGAAGCCTTTTCGAACATGTAGTTTTAGTTTTGATATAACTTTATTTAAGTTTGCTTCATTTTATATTTTTAAATGACCTATATTGGTTCAACCATACAAGAGCCTACGTCCAATTCCTGACTTAGCACACCACTAAATCAAGTCATTCCACTATAACATTCTTTACACACACCACGTACAAGCAATATTACAATCAAAATGAAAATCACACACAATCTTGAACCCACAAGATTTCACAAAAAAAGATTCCTACACCCCATAAGAACCTACTTGAGAAAAAAAAAGGTCTCAAGATTTCTCTTAACTCCTTTAGAGACACCCTATCTCAAAGAGTAACACAACCCAAAAGCACAAACAAAGACTTAAGATCAGAGAGAATATACCTAATATGTGTAGAATGATCTTGTGTAGAGATTACCTTTGTACAAATTGGGTTTTATGCTTACTAAGAAACACAAATTAATCGATTACCATGTCTAATAATAGAATGTGTCTGTTCTAAAATTAATGTGGTTTCAATTTTAAAATTTTGGTACTAGATTACCTTCACAAGTTATAGATTACAACTGTTGTGAAATTTTTAAATGTTGAAATCCTTTTTGCACTATAAGTATAACTCTTTTCAAAAACTTAAAAAAAACATCAAAAAAAGAAAGAAAAACATTATTATTGTACTCTAAAAAATGTTTTAGAATAAGATCATATCACAAACTTTTCATAAAGAATACAAGTGCTAAAGATTGATTGAAGAAAATGAGTTCTTGAAAGATTTCAATAATTTTTTAGCTAATATCTGTACAAGATAATTCTACACATACCAGGTGTATTCTCTCTTATCTTAAATCTTTATTTGTGCTTTTGGGTTATGTTACTCTTTGAGATAGGGTGTCTCTAGAAGAGTTAAGAGAAATCATGAGACTGATTTTTTATTCTCATGTAGGTTCTTATGGGGTACAGGAGTCTTTGTTTGTGAAATCTTGTGGATTCAACATTGTGTATGATTTTCATTTTGATTGTAACATTGCTTGTACATGGTGTGTGTAAAGAATATTATAGTGGAATGACTTGATTTAGGGGTGTGCTAAGTCAGGAACTGGATGTAGGCCTTTGTATGGTTGAACTAGTAAAGATCATTTAAAAATATAAAATGAAGCAAACCTAAAAAAATGTGTTACTACTTCATCTGTAAAGCTTTTCTTTTGAAAAAAATAAAGCAACGTTCTTGTTGTTTATAAGAGGTGTTTTAGAAACACTCTAAGATTTTTAGAGATATGTTTGTGATCATCAAAACTCTTTTGATCTTACACTGTAACAGCCCATTTTTTGTGGGCCTTTGGCCCAATTCGTAGCCCAGAACGGGCCGTTTCAATTTTGAAACGGGCCGTTCTGGATTAGTGAGTATGGCCAGGATTGTAGAAGCAGAACGGGCCGTTCTGATGGGAGAACGGGCCGTTCTGGTTTGGAGAACGTGCCGTTCTGGAAGCAGAACGGGACGTTCTGCTGGGTTTGAGAACGGGCCGTTCTGGTTTGGAGAACGTGCCGTTCTGGAAGCAGAACGGGACGTTCTGCTGGGTTTGAGAACGGGCCGTTCTAGTTTGGGAACGAGTCGTTCCAGTTGAAAAATTTACGTATGTTTGAAGGGACCAGACTCCTAGTTAGGAATTAATTTATAACTTTCAAATCATGTAATAAATATAATATTACAAAGATGTACATTTTGGTCTTTTTTCTGAAGAACGTTCAAAATTACAAAAGAAGAGAAAATTAAAGCTTTTTAAAATAATAACATCCAAAATAAGCCTAGCTATGCCCGATGTCACATCCTATCAAAGCATGCCCAACTGAAGCCTTAAGCCTCATTACCAACATCCTCATGATGCTGATCACCTGCAACATAATTTAAACATATACAAAAACAACAAGGGAGTGAGAAACATCTCACTCAGTTT